TTCCGGTTCTTGGTCCCATCTGGAGGCAAGCCCAGCAACTCCTCGGTGGGTGTGTGCAAGCACTGGCCAGGTCGAGGGCTCTCTCTACAGTGAGTTCATGGTTCCACAAGATGAAGCCTCCTGCTTTCCACCATGCTCATTTGATGACTTGGCAGGTTTTACAATGTTAATTTAAGCTCTGCAGCCAAAGTGACTCTCTTCAGTTACAGGAGTGTGCACTCAAATGTCAGAGCTTCGCTGAAAAACCGCTTGGGTTTGAAGGAAGTCATTGTGTTCGGTAAAATCTGGCCACATTTTATGTTTATGGCCTTTATTAGGGGATCCAGCTGAGCGAGTTAAAACTGCCTCTCTGAAGTCCAGGAAAGCCCAGGACTCGAATTGCAGGAATCACTCACTTAAATAATGGCTATTGAATGTATACTAAATGCCTTGTGCCGGTGTAGACAATGTGATCCTTGTCTTCCTGGAGCTTATAGTCTAGCAGGGAGCAGGGGAAAGACATTGAAAGAGTAAATACATAAACGGAAGTGTTGTGAATAAGTGTGACTGAGAAAAAGGGTGGGGCCCTGTAAGTATTCCAAGGGGATCTTAATGGGCAGTCAGAGAAGGTAATATTTGAGCTGGGTGACAAGTGGGAGGAGAGTGTTCCAGAAAGATGGACTAGCAGGTGCAAAGGCACAGAGACAGGAAAGAACTTGGTGTGTTCAAGAAACCTATTTCCCAGTGCCCGTTCAGAAGCCACAAGATCCAGCCTACATCCAGGGCTGACGTGCGTCAGGTGTCCCCGGTGCCTGTGGGACTGAGCACGGGCCTCACTTGCTCTAACAAGCCAGGCTCACATGCCCCCTGTGTAAGAATCAAGCTCTGTGTCTTGTAGGTGCTTCCTGTGCCCTGTGACCTCATCAGGCTTCTTGGTTATTGACCCTTGGCCTTCATTTCTTAGCCATGTCTTTGGTGCCTACCTTCCCAGCCCTACCTCCCTTGGCACCCTCACCCCCGAGAACTCGCAAGGCTAAGCCATCACTGTCTCCCGCATCTTTGCCTTCCACCCAGCGGCCCCGCTTCTCTGGCACAATTCTTGCTGTCTGTAGCCCCCTTCTGGTTTGGGTCTTTCCACCTCCTGCCAGCTGTGACGTGGTCCCCTTCCCTCCTTCCCTCATCCCCTGCCCCACCCAAGCCTCCATGGAAGTTTCGTGGAGTGCCAGTGATTTTCTTTCCTATCCTTTGTCTACCATCCATGCAAGGGTCTCCAAGATCACCTGTAGGTAAGACTTTTGAGAATCTCTGTGTGTCAAGTCATTGATCAGCAGAGCCGCTCATCGCCCAGGGACCAGAGAATGCGGGCTTCCTCTTGTTTATCTCAGTGTCCTTGGGCAGGGTCCAGAGGTGACGGGTTAGACATGCTGAGTCCACATCTTCTGCTCCAATGCCCAGAGACTGCTAGGAACTCAAAGGCTGCATTCAAGACAGATGCCATCACCCTCTCCATCGATGAGTTCCTTTGCACAGGAGGGAGGAGAGCAGGGATGACCTCTAGGTTAACAGGCGCTCTCAGTCTCTAGGGAGGAGCCTGGGGCACCATTCCACACTGAGCCAGGTGCTCTGGAAGGCAGCCTGTCTCTTGTCTGGTGGGCTTCAGCCAGACATGTGAGTCCTCTGCAGTTATATATTTCCCTGAAGGTGGATGTACGGGAGAGCCAAAGAGCAGTGATTATAAGGTTATTATAAAATAATAACGTGCGTAGGGGCTTCCTGAGCCCACAGCCCTGTGCAGAAATGACTTCTGTTATGCCTGTTTCATAGACAAGAGGTTAGGTGGCCCACAGTCGCCCCTCAGCAGGCGCACAGCGAGGACAGAATGGACTCAGGTGTCCTGCCCCTACCCCCTTGACTGCCCGTGCTCAGACTGAAGCAGGCCCAGGGTTGAACATGAATCCGTGCATGCCCCTCGTTCCCTGGGCGACATCGAGGCTGGGGCAGAGAAGTCACCTGCCAAAGGTGGTGCAGGAACAGGTAGCAGAAGCAAAATATTTGAATTTAGTTCTCACTGGCTCCAAAGCTGCGCTTTCAAATATTACATCTCCCCCCTCCCCCAGCCCAGCCCCACCTCTGCTGGCAACCCATGATCTGCCCTGGGCACCTTTTGGCCCATGTCTGAAGGAGACCCTGGGCAGAGGTGGAGTATGTAACTGTATGTGCAGAAGCCCAGGGACGGAAGAACACACAGCATGATGGAGGAAGTGAGAACTGTCAGCATGGCTGTGCTGTGGGAGTGCATGGGGAAGCAAGACCTGGGTTTGGGGGGCTGGGCCTCAACCCAGGGCTGTGCTGGTAAGGTACAGGGTGGACGTGATCCACTTTACACCTTGCAAAGATCGCTCCGGCTGCTGGGAGGAGAAGAGACTGGAGGAGGAAGGCAGGAGGGAGATCAGTTGTTTGGAGGCTGTTGCAGAGTCCAGAGGACACATGACCATGGTCTGGACAAGGGCCGCGGCCATAATGAAGGAAAACAGGAGTGCATTCAAGAGCCTGCCACTGAGATCACACCGTTCCTTTTACTGTGCCCTCAGGGCAGATGGGAGGTGTGGCCGCCACCCTTCTGATCAGAAGCACGGCAGATGCGCCCACTCTAAGATGAAATGATGAAGCGACTCTTTGAGAAACAGGTCTTGTAATAAAAGAGCTTTGTTAGGAATCATGTTCTGTGTTGTGTTGCTGAAATATGCCAAGTAATAGCCTCCGTTCCAGTTGCAAAAGAATAATTACCCCAACTCTTTGTGTTGTCAGTAACATATTCACAGTATTCACAGGCTTTCATTGCAAATCTTAGCAAAGTGAAGGAAGTCAGCATGATCCCCAGAATGTATAGGTCATGGAAATGAAAGTGCACAGCCTGGGGCCTTCCATGGCTTCCTCTCTTCCGTGAGCTTCGGTGGGGATCAGAGAGATCCTTTCCTCTTCGGTACCAGTTGTGTGGCCTTGGCCAAGGGACAGCCTTTAGTCTCAGTGTCTCCATTTGGAACTGGAGACATTAACAACGGCCTCGCAGGGTTATTCTGAAGATCCTGCTGAATATAATTTGTATAGTAATAGCTGAGCTGATGGCATGCTTATTATGTGCCAGGCATTTTCCTAAGCACTCTGTATATAATCACTTTAATCTCCTCGGTAACCTCATGAGAGAGGTGCTATTATAATCCCCATTTGAGAGGAGGAAACTGAAACACGGCAAGATCAGGTGACTCACCCAAGGTCATGCAGCTAGCATGAAACAGAGCCAGGATTTAAATCCAAGTAGTCTGGTTCCAAATCCTCTGCTCATAACCACCACACTGTGCCGCCTGCCCACATACACAATCCAGTGCCTGGCACATGGTAGACACCCAGTGGGAATGCTTGTTTCCTTTCCACTGGCTCTAAATAATATACTAAATGCAAGACAAGCTCAGAAAGTGAAAAGGCGATCAGTTAGCCTTCCAACTCTGACAGCCCAGAGCAACCAACAGCAACTGGTGTGAAATAGGCAGAAAAGAAGGCATTCTCTTCCTAACTCTGGAGGTAATTAAGTAAAATCCAGAGTTGACCTTAGAGTATACTTATCTTGATGAACACTGAGAAATGTATAGAATTGTTGAATCATTACATTGTATACCTGGAACTAACATAACACTGTATGTTAACTATACTTGAATAAAAAAAAATGGGAAAAAAAGCAAAGTTCACTTTATCTCGGGTGAAAACTTATGGTTGTTGGTGGATACATGTTATAAGTGTGAACATTATCTACCAAACTGTCCAACTGACAGTATCTGACAAGCAGCCTCTGCTGTCCACCCAGAGATGATGATTGTGTTCCCTCAGAAGCCTCATTCATCAGCTCTGGCCCAGTAATTCAGATTCATCCCACATGTATGAAGCATCAGTCACTTACTGATTGAGCAATTAAATACCATCAGCCATATATTTATTCAACAAGTACTTACAAAGTATTTCTATGTACCAGGCCTTGTGTTAGGTGCTAGATATGAGAACTGAGTGAGATATGGTTCTTCCATCTAGGAACACAGAGTGAGGAAGAGAGGTGGCTCACAGGTAAGGCAGAAGTCATGAGAGCAAGAGCTTTTAGGGCCAGAGGAGGAAGCAACTGGCTCTGGCCCAATAATTGGGCAAAGGCCCCACAACAGAGAGGCCATGTGGCCAAGATCTTGAGAGATTATATTTTTTCAGCTGGAGAAGGAGTGGCATTCTAAAATGACGCATAGAATGGGCAAAAGCCAAAGGGCACAAAAGGACATGCACGTTCCAGAACATTCCAAGTACAGAGTGGCTGGAATGATCGTGGCAAGACCTCCAAGACACTGTCCCTTGACACTCAGAATAGAAGATCATTTTTCTTTATTTTCTTTTAAATCAAATTGCATCTAGTTCAAGCTCTTAGTCACGGAGATCAGTGGGAAGTTTTGCATGATTCCCTTCTTTGTATCTCCCTCTCTCTCGGGTTCTATCAGAACTCAGGGCTGAGGACAGATGGACCAGAAGATGGGCACCTAGCTCTCTCCCCCTGGTGATCACTAATCTGTGTCCAGGCCCATGTGGTCCATGTTAGAATGCTATCTCTGCTAGGAGTCTCTGCTGCTTCCTCCGTGTCAAGCACGGCGGCAGAGACCCTTCTGAAGATTTTTGTTAACTTCTCCACCAGGGACAAGGAGAACCCAGGTCTTTGGTCACAAAAATGTTTAATCTCTTCTTTGCAGGGTAGAAGGAATGGAAAGAGAAGGTGCATTAATTCTTTGCTGGTAAATCCATGGCAACAAGAAACAAGACATAAATGGACTCAATCATCTTCCCACTAGAGGAGTAGAAATAAGGTAGAGCTCACTGAGGGACAAGATGAGGAGAGCTGGAGTTGTCTGTGCTCAGACTGAGTGGTCACCTGTGGTCTGGTTTAGTGGCTCAGAGTCAGGTCTGGGCACTGACGAGTGGCTCTGTGTCTCCTACAGGTGTGGCAGTGTGGCGGCAGCGTGGAGGTCCTGCCTTGCTCTCGGATTGCCCACATTGAGCGAGCCCACAAGCCCTACACCGAGGACCTCACGGCCCATGTCCGCAGGAATGCCCTCAGGGTAGCTGAAGTCTGGATGGACGAATTTAAAAGCCATGTCTACATGGCATGGAACATACCCCAAGAGGTAGGAAGCCCCTGTGGGGATGGGGTTTTAGGGGTTTGCTGGAAAAAAAAAACACAAAAACAAAAAATACGGGTCTACACCCTTCTTCCCGTGGATCAGCCAGAGTCTTGGGATCGGTGCTAGAGTAGACTCTCAGCCTCAAAAGACACCACATGTGGAAGAAGAGAGGCTGACTGTGAGGTACTAAGCCATGTCTTATTCCTGCTCCTGTCCTTGGGCAGCCTGCTTAAAGGAAGACTTCTCTCCCGACCTCAGTATCCTCATTTTATTTTATTTTTTTTAAAGATTTATTTATTTATTTTAGAGAGAGCTCATGCAGCAGGGAGGGGCAGAGGGAGAGAGAAACCCAAGCAGACTCCGCGCTGAGTACAGAGCCCGATGCGGGCCCGATCCCACGACCCCTGGCATCACGACCTGAGACAAAACCAAGAGTCAGATGCTTAACTGACTGTGCCACCCAGGCGCCCCATCAGTATCCTCATTTTCAATGAGAATGTTGGGGGTGCCTGGGTGGCTCAGTCAGTTGGGTGTCTGACTTTGGCTCAGGTCATGATCACGGGTCATAATCTCAGGGTCTTGGGATTGAGCCCCACATCAGTCTCTGCACGCAGTGGGGAGTCTGCTTCTCCCTCTGTCGCTCCCCCTGCTCATGCTCTCTCTCTCTCTCTCTCTCTCTCTCTCTCAAATAAATAAATAAATAAAATCTTTTTAAAGATAGATAAATAAATAAATGAGAACACTGGAGCAGATAGCTCCAAGTTTACTTCATGTTCCCAGGTCCTCAGCGTCTCTGCTATATAAATATACCAGAAATTACCAGAATTCACAAAATGCACCTTAATCTCCTCGTAGACTAGATTCAGGCTTCTCCATTGAACCTTTGACCTGAGCAATAAGGAATGTCCATATGGCTTTGAGATTTCTTGAACCACATGCCTGAGGAGGGGATACACTCTCACAGTGATCCTCAGGAGGAGAAGGGAACTGTTCTGGACATTTTTAGGCTGTTTCTAACCTTCACAGAATCTCATCATTGCCTGCCACTGTCCTCTATCCCTCTTGTCACCGACACTTACGAAGTGCCAGAGAAAAGGCAATGTTTCTCTAGTAGATTTGTTCAGCCTTGCCATGTGTCATATGGAAATGACCTTGGACCACTGAGTTGGGAGAACCCAACAGATGCCAGCCATAGGATCTCAACCTGCTTAGCAGCCTGTCTGCCTAGAGATCATTGCTTATGTTGCCGTGTCTATCTGAGACAGCTGTTGACTGCATGACCTCCTTCTTTCCCCTTGGGAGTCCTTTAAAAAGCTTTAGTTCTTTCTTCCTAATAGGGAAGTGGTTGATTTTTGCCTGAAGTTTCCATATGAAGGCCCTGTTCCCTGATCTCTCCACCCAACTAATGTTGCTCTGGCTGAGTGATTGAGAAAATAGGCTGGGCCATGGGTGGGAGCTTTTAGGCAGCATCCCCATCGCCACCACCATTATGGGGGAGGAGACTTGGGTGGGGATGTATACTCCGACAACCAGTGACATCTCAGCGGTAGAGAGAAGAACGAGGAGCCAGGAAGTATCAGCCAGGGTGCGGGCAGCCCTAAGGAACCAGCCCCAGGAACGCATCCCTGACAGTGGGAGTGTTTCTAGGGAAACAGCAGTGCCTTCTGGACCCGTCTGCAGCTGTGGGCGTTGGATCACAGTATTCTGGGGAGCATGCTGTACACCTCTGTGGGTGTCCTGATAGCAAAATGTTAAGAACGCTTGGGAAAGTCCCCCAGGAACTTAGCAGTAAAGCATCATAGATCCCCCGTCCCTTAGCAGAGTTCTGTCCCTACTCCTGCCACCTTCTCTCTGCACCCCAAAGCTGAAAACCTTTTAGACTTCTCCCCTCAGTGTGGCTGCTGGATGTGGAAATGGACAGTACATCCAATGAATGGCAGAGAACCAAGTGAGAAAAGTAATTAGAAAATGATGAAATTCAATGTGTGTCTGTGACACCTCAGAGGGGTAGTTCAAACCCAATCGAATGGGTGGGAAGAGAGAGGAGTGAACTCAAGAAAGGCAGATGAGGGGTGGGAGTGTCCAGAATAAAGCCTCGGGTGGCAAAGGAAGACATCAGTGGGTTTTCAAAAAATCTATCCCTTGACTCCACTGTTCCCTGCTTTGTTTAGATTCCCTCTCCTACCTCTTCTCAGGCTTCTGGAAAGAGTCAACACCTTTTCCCCTCTACTCACTTCTCAAGTCATATCCCAGGATTGCACCAAAACTGCTTGTGACAAAGTATCCAAACTGCTTAATGGACATTCTAAAGTCTTTAACCTACAAGATCCCACCTTTCCCCTGAAACTCTGTACTCACTTGGCTCCATGATGCCACAGCCCAGTATATCCCCATCTCTCTCTGATTGCTCTTAATTCCCTTGTGGGCAATTCTCACCTCTCTCGGATGCTTAAGTGCCCCCAGAGATCCATCCTTGGCCAACTGCTCTCCTTAAACATCATTTCCCCGGTGGCCCCATCTGTTCCTGGGTGCTTTTATCTGTTGATGACTTCCTAACTAAGATCTGTAGCCCTGACTTCTGCCTTTAGTCTTGGACCTATAGCTGCACATCTCCTGGTGCTCCTTCAGGCACTTTAGACTGAGTCTGCCAAAACGGAGAACATCCTTCCCCCCAGAGCTTCTCCTGTTCTTCCTCCCCACCGCGGTTTAGGATACCACCATCTGCCCAGATCTACAAGCTTGAAACTGAGCATCTTCCTTTGATCCTTCTTTCCCTCAAGCCCCGTTCCCAGCCCATCACCGAGCTCTCTCCTGTCCATTCCTACCCCCATCACGTCTGAGTTCAAGCCTTGTCTCTTCCTCTGCAAGAGCCTTGGACTGGTTTCCCTGGCTCAAGCCTTATCCCCTTCAAATCTATCCTCCAAATGACCCAAAGTTATCTTTTTTTTTAAAGATTTTATTTATTTATTTGAGAGAGAGAATGTGAGAGAGAGCACATGAGAAGGGGGAGGGGCAGAGGGAGAAGCAGACTCCCCGCCGAGCAGGAAGCCCGATGCAGGACTCAATCCCGGGACTCCAGGATCATGACCTGAGCCGAAGGCAGTCGCTTAACCAACTGAGCCACCCAGGTGCCCTGACCCAAAGTTATCTTAAAAACAAAATAAAACAAAAAAATAAATCCTCACAGCAACCACATCATTGCCCTGCTTAAAATCTTTAAAGGACCCTCCACTGTGCACAAGATCGGGCATTAAGCCTGCTGTTTGACATGCTTTCTCCTCTGCCCGCCTCCAGCCCCCTGCCCCCACCCCGTCCTGGAGTTCCGTAGACTGCATGGCCAGTGAGAACTCCAGAGGCCATTCTACACTCTTTCTCTCCTCTGTGTGTTTGCTCATTTTGTCCTCTCTGCTTGGAATTCCCTACCTGCTGCCTCTTCCCCAGCCTCCACCCTCACCCATTTCCCTCCACCCTATTAGACTCACCTCCAGTGACCCCTGCTCTAGGAAGTCAGCCTCAGGGGGAGAAAATGCCCCCTTTGCCTGCATGTCTCTGTCATTGCATCAACACTGTGGAAAATGTTCTGTTGTGTATAAGTCCCTCAGTTTCTCTCACTCTCTTTCTCTCTCTCTCTCATTTTCTTGTTAAACCAGGGGCTCTCAAATCTTTCAGAACTTTAAAATCACTTGTGCTCCAGCCCCAGAGATTATGATTTAATTGGTTTGGAAGGGGACCAGGGATCATTTTTTGGAAAGCTCTTCAGGGATTCTAATGTCCATCCAGGGCTGAGAACCACCGCATTAGACTCCAGGCTTTCTGGGGACAGATTGTGTTCTTCACTTTTGTGTCACCAGGCCTCACACAAGGCAGGGCACATGGTCAGAGCTCAGCAAAACCTCGCTGATGCTTATTAACAAATGGATCTGCTGGCAGTATGTGTCATTCCTTTCTCCCTTGGTCAGTGGCTCCTGAAAGCACATCTGCAGACCGACTGCATCAGAATCACTTGAAGAGCTTTTTAAAAATACTGCTTCCGGGTCTCATCCTTAGAGATTCTGATGAGTAGGTGCCTAGTGTTGCCAGAATCTGTTTAAAAACTTTCTGGGTGGTGGTCTGGGGCTGCCAAGTCTGAGTAATACTAGTTTAGCTCATTCTGGTAGTCCTTCCGAATTCACCTTGAGTATCACCTACTCCAGGAAGCCTTCTGTGACTGCTCACCCTCTCTTGCCCGCTGTCTTGGCTGCCCCACTCTCTCTCAGCGTTCTGCTTCCCTGCATGCTCCACACTGTGTGCAGAGAGACTGTTTATTTGTCTGGATCTTCCAGATCTTCCTCTCAGGCAAAGTCTGTGCCTTCTTCCTATTTGTACGCACAGTATCTAGGATAACAACTGATGCCTACTGAAGATGAACTGACAAAGAAAAAGAGGGAGGAAGTGTGGGTGCTCCGTGCCCCCATGTTTTCCCCAAGAGTGTCCCCAGCTGCCCTTGATGGAGTGGTGTCCCAATACCTGTGCTCACCCACAAGCACATCTGTTACCTGTTGACTTCACCTTTTGTCTACAGCATCCCAGCTGCAGGTATAGAGCTGGATCCCTTCGACCCTGCCCAGTGGCTGCCTTGAGAATTAAATAAGCTAGTATATGTAAAGACTTTGATCAGTGCTCGGCCAATAGAAAAAGCACCAGTGAAGTATTAACTCTTGCTGCAGCTGGCCTTGCTTGTGCCCGCTGCCTCCACAGCCGAGCTTTAAAAATGTCCTTGCCGGGCCACCGGCCTCCCCGGTTGCCTTCTGTGCCGAGTCCTCCCCAAGCTGTGTGCCAGCCAGAGCCGGGTCTCTCACCCACCACGTTCAGTCCCAAGTTTTTGGAAGGCCGGAGAAGTCCCAGCTCTTGCATCCCCCTCTGCTTTAATTGAAAATCAGTTTGCTTATCAACAAACGGAAAGTCGGCCTGCAGCAAAGCATCAGCTTTTTCTCACACAGGGTTCGGGAACTCTAGACCCACCCCTGTTTCCTCTTGCCCAAAAACTGGCTGCATGCCCAGGATGACTCACCACGGGGCAGAGGTGACGGTCCTTTTTTAGGTTTGGCTACAAGAGATTGTACGTGTAGCAGCACACACAGGCAGGAATACTGGACAGCTTTTTGTGTGGCTGAGTGTATTCATTTCCGAGGGCTGCCATAACCAATTACCACAAATCGAGTGGCTTTAAACAACAGATTTTGATTCTCTCAAAGTTCTGGAGCCCAGAAACCCAACATCAAGGTGTCGGCGGGGCTGTGCTCCCTCTGAAGGCTCTAGGGGAGGATATTTCTCGCCTATTCCAGCTTTTGGTGGCTCTTGGCATTCCTTGGCTTGTAAATGCATCACTCCAGTTTCGGCCCCTGTCTCTATGTCTCTGTGTGTTCAAACCTCCCCCTCCTCTCTCTTATGAAGATACTGGTCATTGCCTTTAGAGCTCACCCTAAATCCAGACTGATTTCATCTACGGATCTCTAATGAATTCCATCGGCAATGATCCGATTTCCAAATAAGATCACATTTGTAGGTTCCGGGTAGACACAAATTTTGCAGGAGACACTATTCAACCCACTGAGTATTTGGCAAAGGAGGAAGACATGCTTATTGTTTTTTTTTAATAATAAGGGCCAACATGACCTTCTCTGACAGAGTTGGCTTATTTCTCAATTTCTTTTTTTTGTTTATGTTCAGTTAGCCAACATAGAGTACATCATAAGTTTTTGTTGTAGTGTTCAATGATTCATTAGTTGCACATAACAGTTTCTGCCCCCAATCTGAAAAGGGTTTGATGCAATTTACAGTAAACACACGGTACGGATGTGCTGAACCATTAAAGCAGAAAGGCAAAAGTCAACTAATAAATAGGAAGAGGAAAGGGGCATGATAAACAGAAATATAAGCTGAGCAAAACTCTGATCCTGGAGTGTCCTAGAAGTTAAAGTAGAATTGGACTTCTGATGGATAGTTCTCCTACCTTCCATTAGATCATAAGGAGAGAAAAACAAACTTTCCCTTGATTCTGAGCGTAGAAAGAAAGTTTTCCTGTGGGAACCCAGGATTTAAGAAAACACGGAGGCCTTCCAGAGACAGGTTCTTCTAGTGGCTTCCCATAAAAGCTGAGACACAGTGTTAGTTTGTTTTCATATAAAGGCAATTAACCGTGAAGGGGGAAAGCCTGGGTCCCAGCAAATGGTTTTGCAATATAAGGACAAGGTACAGAGAAGTTTAAAGGGCTAACACTTAACAGATCCCTTGGGGTAAAGGGTGGGGGGAGTGAGTAGGTCACATTTATTGAGAGTTGCTGTGTACAATACTTCATAAATATTTTCTCAACCCGGTCTCTCAACCCCATCCATATAGCTCAGGCTCAGCGGTAGGTCAGGGGTACAGAGATCAATTGAACATGTTTCCTGAATCCAGCAGAGAAAGACCAAGTAGCAGTTGCTGGGAGGGCTCTGGGCAGGAGCCGAGGAGTAGGCAAATCATAGATGAAGCCATCAAAACCTCCTCAGAAGGTGGGTCCTTGCTGACATTGTGCCTTTACAGGTTGTAACTTAAACCTTCTGGCCGTAGCAGGTTCAAATTTTTATATTGCCTGAATTTTGGTAGGCAAAAATAAATGTATTTCTTCTGTTTGTTGTTACTCGAGACCGCATGGTCTAATACCAAATACTTTGTTCCCATTACATGCACATATGCGCATCAGCCATCTTTGTGGTTTTTCTCAGACGCTTCAAATGTAAACTCTGTCCATTTCATTATCTTCCCAAGCCCAGGAACTTGACCCCTAGCTGATGCTAGAACCTGGGGGTTCACACAGCCAGCACACAAGCTGTGGCCTCAGCGAGAGAACTGTGTCCTCTCATGTCCTCCTCTCCCTGCCCTCTGGGCTAGTGTCTCGTGAGATACCGCAGGACCTAGCTGGTCCCCGGTCCATGATGTCATCCTCTGAGATGTCACTGAGTCTCCATCTGATCCCCAGCTGCAGAGACTCCTCGCCGTGCTCTGCTGTGGCATCAGCTCTTCTTCAGCGGTTCTGTGCCCTGTCCAATGGCTGGTATGCAGGCCCAGGGACTCCATGTTCTCCCCTCTGCTCTGGGACCACGAGAAACGTGGGGGCTTCTCCCTCTCTCTAACTCAAGGACACATCCATGTCTCCATTACTGCTCCTTGCCTGCTATACTGTGATGGCTCAGGGGCCACCTTTCTGATCTCCTCGGGAAGTGACAGACACAAGTACTCTCTACACTAAGACCCCCAAGCTGAGAGAGGGTCTGCTTCTCCCACAAGAACTTGTGTCTTAGGAGGCAGAAGGGCAGGCTCTTCCAGATGCAGAGCATAGGTTAAAAGTGCAAACTCCAGACCCAGGTTGACGGGGTTAAAATCTCAGCTCCACCTTTTATCAGCTGTAGGACTTTGGGCAAGAGGTTGCTGAACCTCTCTTTGTCTCCCCTCGGCATCTGTAAAACAGTGCTCCCTATAGGTGGAAATGGGCTGCTGTGCATCATTGGAAGCACACAGGCAGGTCTCATGCAGGACAGAACCTCGCACTTCGCAAGTGCTCTACAAGCCTTTGCTGTTACGATGGTTAGGAATGGTATTTGAATTAGTATCACTCCATCTTCAACTCTCCCCCTTCCCCCCCCCCCCCCCACGGCTCAGAACCTCTCGTCTCATATCATGAGACAGAAAAAAACCTCACTCCAACTGTATGCTTTGGTATCTTTCACCTACACTTGGGCCCCAGCTTTTTCTTCTTTTTTTTATTTTCAGTGGCCTTGGTTGGCATTCCCTATCAGTGCTGTCCTCATGTTCTAACGTCCACATGGGGACAGTCATGGGGTTACGTACATGCGGGAGACAAATGAGCTAAGTCCCCAGGTCCTCCCTTCACTAGACAGCGTCCAGGAACCTGGGTGGGGAGGTCTGGGGAGAAGCTGTGCCCTGCTGGTGGCTGGAGCTCTGCATTTGCATGCCCGTGCAGGACTCGGGGATCGACATCGGGGACATCACTGCGAGGAAGGCTCTGAGGAAACAGCTACAGTGCAAGACCTTCCGGTGGTACCTGGTCAGCGTGTACCCAGAGATGAGGATGTACTCAGACATCATTGCCTACGGGGTGGTAAGGAGCAGCCTCCCTGGGGCTTCATGCAGACACAGAAAGCAAGGCCAGACAGAGACCTAGAGTCAGGGGAAAGGACAGAAGGAGCCTTCAGCCCCCCATGTGGGACCTCTGGTACACCAGTGGACCAGAGGCAGCCTCCCATGTGGGACTCCTGGTAGAACGGTAGACCAGAGGCGGTCTTTGGTGTCATAGCCCGAACCGCTCTGTTCCCTTGTTCTAAATCTCTCCTTTAGAGTCTTAAACAATTTAGCTCTAGCCTCAGACCTGCATGTTCTACTTAATAAAACAAAAACCTGCAGTTAGGGCAGACATGAAAGGTAATATAACAAACACCCACTATTCCCCCAGCATGGGTGCCTGAGGTTCTAGCAACCAGCCTGCATGCCTCCCCTGTCTAAGGGCTTTTGCTTTCCACTCACACACACGGCCTCCAGGAAAGGAGCTCTGGGACACAACCTTCCTTCTTGACTTCACTGTTTTTTGAGGGATGTTTTAGGACCACCTATTGATTGGCACGGAGCAGTCACCCCGATGGAGAGCAGAGCACAGGGCTTGGATCCAGACAGACCTGGTTCCAATCTTGACCAAGCCACTTGTCAGTCAAGTGTCTTAACATCTGTGGGCCTCGGTTTCTTCCTCTGTTAAATAAGGGGCAAAATAATACTGTGCTTCTAGAGTAGAAAAAAGTCTAAGACATACAAATATCTTATATATCCTGACAATTTGTATGTTCTGTCTAAGGTTAAAATGCTTTGAATATGATAAACTCTACTATTCTTCCAGTGTTCCCAGGACCATTCAACTCTTAAAGTATTTTCAATGATACCTGATTTTGTTTTTGTTTTTTTGTTTTTTTGTTTTTTGGGGTTTTTTTGATATCTCACCTGGCTTTTGCTTCCTGAACACATGGAGCTTTTCTGCTGACAGTTATAAGCCCTCAAAACTACATAGATTACTGACGCCATGTTACAGATGGGGAAACAGAAAGGCAAAATGACCTTCCCATGTTCACATCGGTCATCAACAGAGAAACTGAGTCTAAGACATCAGCTTCTGATATCATTCTGCTTCCTCCCTTTGGGGAGTATCCCCTCAGACCTTTTTGATATGCCAGGATGAAACTCGAAGGAAGAACTTCGGCCTCTTCCTTGGATAAGCTGTGGTCAGAACCAAGTTCAAGGCCTGCCTCAGCAGGAATATAACGGGCAAAGCATCTGCCTGGGAGGGGAAGAAGAATGCTAGCGGAGGACTGGCCTCCATGTTCTCTGCAGGCCTCCCAACTCTGACATCCTAGAATTCTACAGAACACAGAGCCAGGAATCCCCCCAGCCCCCATCAGACCTCTGTTGTCTAGCAGGCCAACCTGTAGGACGGAATCATATCCTCCCACAAGAATTTCCATGGCACGGTTGACACCTTCTGAGGAAATCCCTCAGTGGCCCCTTCCCTCTCTACTTCTCAGGCTGGTGTAATTTGGGTGCCAGAGAACTTCTCGGCTGGTGCCACCCAGCTATTACCTGAAACTCTATATCCTGCGGTCCCTATGGAAACACACTGGGCTGTGAAGTGCCCATCAGCCCCATCCCCCCCACCCCGGGGCCTTTCTGAGGACACAGCTGTTACTGGTGCCCCCAAACTCTGCCCATAGCAAGTTGTGTATGGTGCTTGGCCATGGTTGGACCCGATCCAGAAAGGATGGTTATGCTGCTGTGGCTCTGGAGAAACCATTAGCCCAAAACCCCTGTGAGCCAGGACCAGCTTCTGGATTCATGTTCTCACCAGGCTGTCAGCTGTAGCTGAATGGTATCAGCCACAGTGGGAAAGCAATAGTGGAGGGGTGTGTGTGTGTGTGTGTGTGTGTGTGTGTGTGTGTGTGTGTGTGTGGCCATTGCAGTTCTGGGTCTTGGCCAAAGGCATTCTTGTCTTCCAAGCAAGGGGGTCTCATCTTAATGACATGCACAACAGGTTTACCATGTAACCAACCCTCTTACCGCCACACCCAGAAACCTTTAGCTGATCAAATAGTAAGTGGCATATACAGGGCTGTGATGTGGATCTGTCTGAGTCCATAGTTCGAGCTATTTTTACTGTGATGGGCTGAAAAGCCCCTCTTATCATCCCAAAGGACTGAGCCATGCTAGCCATTCCTGGGGCTGGCGGAGGTCTCTGACCCCCCCAAATGTTCATCCGCCAGCCACTGCTCGGGGCCCAGCCAACCTCCCCTCCCCTCTGGCTCCTCCACAGGCTGGCCTCTGACAAAGCAGAGCCACGCTCACTTGTCAAGGAACATAATGAACTCTTAATGGGGGCAACAGGGTGAAGATGGGCAAAGCAAGATATAGCCTCAAGAGCAAGAGGATTTGCTGAGGCTGAATCATTCTTCCTGGCGATTATTCTTATTCTGAAATGCAGAGACCAGATGTCTTCTCAGGGGTAGAGTTTCTTTTTACTTTTTCCACTCCAACTTATGCCAAACTACATTGCTCAGGTCAAATAACCTCCCGGGCCTCTCAATGGGGCCAGGCTCGTCTATAACCCAGCCCATTAATCCACTAACAGGTCCCATTAATGACTCCTGTGGGCCCCATTGTGTGGGCGTGGGTTTCCCCTGGATCATTGAGCCCCATGTCCAGGAAGTGGGGTCTTTGGATTAATCCCAGCTCTAGTGCTGACAGCAGAGATGGAGCAGCATCTAGAAACAGACATGCCCGGCTTCTGGAATGTTAGCTTTGCCACTTACTCTCTGTGCAATCTCAACAATTTACAAAACCTTAAAAGCTATAGTCATACCATCTCCTGGGGCATTTTTCACAGTCTTAAGATTGTCGCCATTTGCATGATGGGAAGAACTTGCCACTTGTCCACTTGCCAACGCCATTCATTTGGGAATGCCATTCATTTGTTCGTTGTCTTCATTCATTCATTCCACGTGTATATTCACTGTCTACTGTGTGTCGGAGCTGGCCGGTGTCAGAGACCATGAGAAAGACTCAGACCTAGCCTGGTCAGATGGGGGAGACAGGCACACGAAGAAGGGACCGGAGCTGAGCACACTAAGCACACCAATAAGAGAAATGGAGGTGCTGGTGAAGCACAGGGCCATGGCCTGACACCCAGGCTTGGGTCAGGAAAGACTTCCAGAGTGACAGAGAAGCTGAGAACCAAAGGAGGAGGAGGATTTAGCCAGGCAAAGAGAAGGCGTAAGGAGAGGCGACATGGGGAAGGGTCCGTGCCCCGGGAGCGGTGTCACAGACAGGGAGGGCAGGCAGACCTTGCCACGCCACAGTTCCTCATCCTTCAAAGAGAGAATATCACCAACCTGGCCGGGTTCTTATGAGGATGAGGCGGCGTGACACGTGGCAAGCGCTTAGCTCAGTCACTGATGCATAGATGAGGCCAAAACAACCAGTTGTCCCAAATGGCTGTTAGCAAGGTCATAGCAGTAATAAGAGCAGCTAACAATTATTGCGCATTTGCCATTTGTCAGGCCCTGCTCCCTCCTTGTGGAGATGGTTGCGCTTACTCCTCCCGGCAATCCTATGAGGCAGTCACTAGTACTATCCCTACTTCAGATGGAAGAAAACGGACAAGAAGGAGTTTTGGTCTTTTCCAAGACCACACCACTGGAGCCAGGATTCCGTCCCAGCCTGTCTGTCCTGACAGCAGCAGACCACCCGCTTCATGGGCGCGAGATGACACAGAGCTGGGGGGACTTTATCTAGAGGCACCACCTACCTCCTCACCCAGAGGATGGCTTTGAGAACCCGGCAGAAAGCCAAGGCTGACATCAGGGCTCTCTGGACCTTTCTCTCTGTGATAGCAGTTAGCAGATTCCGCTAATGGAGTATAGTTCTTGGCTTTAGATGTGACACCCGCCTCTCTGTGGGCTGCAGGAAAAGTCCAGAGTGTGTTGACGTATGCTCCCTCAGCGCGGCAAGCCATGTAGTTGTTTTATAAAAGAGGATTTGCTGCGGAGATGTTTCTGGGGCCTCTGCCTAGGGAGCTGGCACACGTTTATGATTCTTCAGAACCTCCAAACCACAAGTCTGGGATTGAGATGCCTTCACCCGGTGGAGGAGAGGAAGCTCAAGAGAAAAGAATTTGACTCTGTTCCTTGACCCCTGTCAAGAACGGGGTATGCCTAGAGCACACATGTGCCTCTGGTCGTTCCGTTTGGTACCCCTTCACTGGGCTCACTGCATTTCTGCCACAAGTTGTCAAGACAATGGAAGCCCAGCCGCTGTCAGTCTCTGGCCTCCTTGGATAGATGGCCCACCTGTGGTCCTTTGCCCTGGTCTTCCCTGAATTCCAATATCCATTTCCTGTTCTAAACAGAGCACCTCGCTGCTAACAAGAGCTATATAAGCTCGCTCAAGTTAAGGTGGGTAACAATGCCACAAACTCGCTTATGGGCACAGGAACTGAAGTGCAGCTGGGCGTGAGCACTAGAGCTGGGAAGCTGCCAAAGCCATGGCAGGGCGCAATGTCCCTCATTCTGTCTCATGCTTCATCTCTTCCTCGGCCACAGCTGGATTTCTCTGCTTACATATTGCCCAACAGATCTCCCAGACCCAATCTAAATGGCCTCACGATTCTAGTGGCCACCACCCACGGACCACCAACTCTCTCGCGGAGAGTTCTAGCACGGGATAAGAGGTTGACGAGACGGTTCCATTCCAGAAAGAGGATGGAGGAGAGCGAGAGAAAGAAAGAGAATTCTTAAGTCATTCTAACCTGCCTGTTGGTGCCCACCGTGGTGTACTCAGCTGTGGCGGGTGACCAGGGCCATGGGGACTGTAAGCTGCCCTTTCCAGGGGCTGGGAGGGGGCTTATTCCAGAAAGGGACATTGAATATTGGCTTTCTTACCTGACATGGGGAGGCATTGGTTCTGTTGATTGCTATGTGCCCATAGGTGAGGTTAAGAGATGCCTCCCTCTTCTCCTACCCCCTTGGCCCCCTGCTTTCTTATTCACCTGCCAGAACTCCCGGTCTGGAGAATCCTCATCACCTGGGCACCACTGGGGCCAGGCCAGCCACTGCTGGGTCTGCAGGGGGCAGAGAGGACCTTCCCAGAGGACACGTCAGGCCTGAAAGCAGCTAACGTGTTACCCACTTCCCCCAACCTTCCAGAACAGAGACTTCTATCCAGGGACCATTGAAAGCCCTTGTGCCACCCCTGTGGGAATGGAGGGGGTGCAAACCCTAGCACCATTTTCTGTGTGTTCATGCCCGTGTATCTTTTATTCCTGCCTAGACTGCCTTGGCTTATTCTTTAACAACATGAGAATGCTTCTCCTTCACAGGAGGCTGGGTTTCCCTCAGCACCTTTATACCCGCAAAAGCTGGTGCTTGCTGCTTTCCGTAGTATTCAAGGGTCCTCGGGTTGATTATGGAAATGGAGCCTGTCTCCGTGGAATGCTGGCTTCTCCTGATTTAATGCATTTGTTTCTCTGCTCCTTTCTCTCTGGTGTGGCCACCCCTCCTCGGGTGTTCAGCTGCAGAACTCTCTGAAGACCGATTTGTGTCTCGATCAGGGTCCAGACACAGAGAACGTTCCCATTGTGTACATCTGCCACGGGATGACACCCCAGGTGAGTTCCCTGAGAGGGCCCCCTGCTGGGGGTGTACTCATGTATGTCTGGCATGGGCAAGGATGGTTAAACTCCTGTCATGGCGACTCTAGGCCCAGGGGCCTCTGGGGCTTTTCATTAGGAGTATGCTCATGACTAAAAGGGGAGAGACATACCTGCCTTACCTGGAAGGAGGCTGGGATAGCAGGTATGCTGGCGTGCCTGGATCCTCGGGGGTGGGGAGCAAGGAAGGGGATCAGTTTCTAAAGAGGAACACCTGCCTTCTTTGGGCAGACTATGAGTAAACTGCAGTCCTGGTTCTGGCAATCATGCCCTTTCCAAACAGGAGGGAACCCAAGGGTCCCTCAAGCTCCCAGACATCTCAGAGTCCCTTCAGAGTGCCATATCATGGCTTTCGGGGCTCTGCCCTTTAGTAGATCACAGCTGCAGCCAGAATTTATAGCCACGAGAGCTTTTCTAGCTCGTGTGACCTTCTCCTGGTGGAGAATGAGGGGAAGCTACCAGGAAAATAAGTTATCCTAGGAAAAATTAGCCAGTCACAGCCTAGGCTTCAGATATCCAAAGAGGATGCTGAGACGGAGACAAGAGAAATGGCCTATTCAACAAAGTACAATGGACACCCATTGTCCATGGAGGCCGTAGACTGACCTGGTCTGATTTGACAACATTTTCAGAGTGTACTTATCTTGCCTCCAGTAGTGCAAATGATTTTTTTTAAAAAATGTCATAGAATATATGTATATTTGTGCAATTATACTTCTGTGTTTAGAAGGGTCATTACCCACCTCAACACACAACCAAAAGCAATCATGATGTGTGTGTGTGTGTCACTGGTGTACTGTGCTGGGACTTCCGCTGTGATCTCCACCAGCTCATCGTTTCTGTGGGCCCAGCTGCTGTGGCATCACCGACTGGTCGGTCACAGGTCAGCAGATCACACTATCCCCACACCACACAGTATAGCAACTCATTCTTCATCCTTACAACACTGTGACATTTCTCATGGATGACGATTTTTATGTAACTTTTTATTGACGTCTAACATAGGTCCAGACAATAGGCAAATTATAAGTGTACGGATTAGTGAGCTTTCGGGGCAAACACACCCACATAACCAGCACCTGGATCAATAAAAGGAGCATTATTGCCTGATTCTGAATTTTATATAAATAGGATTATAGGGTCTATGCTTTCTCGGGTTGGCTTCTTTCTTTCATCGTTATATTTGTAAAGTACCTCTGTGCTGCTATGTGTAGTTGTAATTTTTATTACTATGTAATATTCCATTTTATGAATATACCATGTTGACTACATGTTTACTGCTGATGGACACCCGAGAGTGTTATGAATACCGCTGCTATGAACATACTTGTTTTGGTACATGTATGCGCTCATTTCTTGTGGATTTATACCTAGGAGTGGAATCGCTAGTCATAGGGTTGCTATATGTTTACTTTGAGCAGACACTGCCTATATTAGTCTCCTGGGGCTGCCTTAATATAACGCCACAGGAATTTATTGTCTCCCAGTTCTGGTGCCTGGAAAGTTCAAGATCAAAGTGCTGGCTGATTTGGTTTCTGGTGAGGGCTCTTTGTGGCTTGCAGATGGTTACCTTCTCTCTGTGTCCTCACACAGCAGGGAGAGAGAGAATGAGTGAACTCTCTGGTATCTCTTCTTGAAGGGACACTAATCCCATTGGATAAGGGCTCAACCCTTATGACCTCATTTAACCTTAACTTGAAGATTTGGAGAATACTCAGCCCGTCCATATTGTAAAAAATGAGAAAGCTTGTTCTGAAGAGAACACTGAGTGTAGCTGAACAACAATTTGATTAAGAGATCATGGTGGGATTCATGGACTCAATCGGCCATCTCAGCAGTAAAAGCCATAAACTGAGATGGGCTTATACCCGCAGAGAACTGGCAGCCTGAACAAAAGAGAGAGCAGGACAGAATGAAGGCCGGCTGGTGGACTTCTCGGCTTTCACAAGGCAGGACAGGTGAACATGCCCTCTTCCTCAAGAAAAGGGAAGAATGATACTGAAGGCCATTCAGAGATCATCAGGGCTGCCAGGCCCCCCCACCCCAGACCCAGGGGCAAGGCTGTCTCCTCAAAGAGTGGGCCTGCCTCTCTGGTTTCAGTGGGCTTGGATGGCCCTGCCCAGTGCCTCGGGAGTGGGACCAAACAAAGCAGGGAGCGGCTTGGGCCGTGCCACCCCAGAGGGCCCAAGGTACAAGCAAGTCCACAGAGCCATGGGAGTGATGCTGCCACCCCAGTGGGCCTAGAGGGCAAGACCGTCAGGACAAAGAGGTTATTCTCAGGCCTTGAGATCTGATGGAATTAGCCCTGGCAGGTTTTGGACTGGCCTGGGACCCATCACCCCCTTCCTTCCAACTTCCCCCTTCTGGAAGACGCTTGTCTAGCCTGCGTCTATCCCACCATTGTATTTTGGAAGCACATAACTTATCTGATTTCACAGGCTCTCAGCTGGAGAGAAATTTTGCCTCAGGATAAATCACACCTTGAGCCTCATGCACATCTGATTTAGAGGCTACTTAGATGATATTTGAACTTTAGACTTTAGAGTTGTTGCTGGAATGACTTAAGACTTTGGGGGCTGTTGGGATAAAATGAATATATTTTGCACGGGAGAAGGAAATGAACTTGGGGGTCTAGGGGCAGAATGCTATGGACCGAATTGTATCACCCCAAAATTCATGTGTTGAAACACTAATCCTGACTGTATTTGGAGTAAGGAAGCAATTAAGGTCAAATAAGGTTATGAAGGTGGAGCCCTGATCTGATAGAATTAGTGTCCTTATAAGAAGAGACACAGAGAGCTCCGTGTCTCTCTGTCTCTCTCTCTCCCTCTGTCCCTCTCTCTCTCTCTCTCTCTCTCTTCCTCTTCCTCTCTCTCCCTCTCCCTGCCACGTGACAACACAGCAAGAAGGAGGATGTTAGGAGGCTAGGAAAAGAGTTCTCATTAGAAACTTAATGTACCAACACCTAGATCTTGGACCTCTCAGCCTCCAAAACTGTATGAAAATGACTTTCTATTGTTTAAGCCACCCAGCCGGTGACATTTTGTTGTGACAGCCCAGGTCAACCAATATACAGTGAAACAGTCTCCCAAATTAATTATATCAATTTTTACTCCCATCAACCATATTTTAGAGTTCTTGTTGTTCCCCACACCCTTGCCGCCATTTAGTATTCTCTGTAAATCTGTATTATTTCCAAATTATAGACATCGTGGCACGTGTAGAGTCATAGCACACTGTGGTTTTAATTTGCATCCCCCTGATTATTAATGCAGTTGGGCACCTGAGTTTTTTTCAGCTCAGAAGATCCCCATGTTGTTCTTGAGTATGGGCCAAGGTGGCCAGGTCACAAGTTGTTTGGTCTTTTTGTAAATTCCCTGCCAGCTTATTAATGCCTGCAGCCCAGGAGACAGTGAATGAACTTGCTTTTAACAAATCTATGTGGAAATCTGCAGGGTTGTTGCTTATCTGGACCACCGGGCAAATGTGGAGTGTTTCCTCTGTGGGATGGTGGGTGTCAGTCTGGGCAAAGCCTGCCAGTCTCCCAGCTGCTGATAATTCAATATGGGGCCGTCTGTCCTGTGGTTAAGAGCATGGATTCTGGAATCAGATTGTCTGTGTCCAAATATCAGCTTTGACACTCTCTAGTTGCCAAGTTTTTAAATGGGTAGGATTTTAAAATGTGGGCCTATTTTATTTTCTGTAAAATACCGATTAATGATGGTATATAGCATAAAGGTTATTGTAAAGATTTAATACATGTCAAATATCTAAAAGAGTGCCTGGCATATAGTAAGTGTTCAGTGAGTGTTAGCTAATAATATTGCTATAGTACTATACTATCATTATTGCTCATTAAGCCTTGCTCAGTATATATGCCCTCAAGATTCTAGCTCCAGCCCACAGTGAAATGACTTTCCTTAACTTCATGCACCATGTGCCATGGATTCCAGCCCTGGTCACAGCCTACCCATAGACTAATGGAGCATCACTGGGTTTCTGTGGCAGCAAAAATGCAGTGGAGTAGGGGTAAGGAGGGGCTTCAGGAAGCCTGAGTTCTAGGCTTCGTCTTGCCACACAGTTGCAATGTCACCTTAACCCTCCCTGGACCTTTATTTTGTTTCACTCTTTTATTGAGATATGATTTTACACTAAAGTACACACATCTGAAGTGTACAGTTCAATGAATTTCCACATTTGTAGACAACTGTGTAGACACCATCCAGATGGAGCCCATCATCCCACTGGGCTTCCTCATTCCTCCTCTTGGTCAATACCTCTACCCAAAGGTAATGACGACTCTGGTCCCTAGCACCATTGATTCGTCTCATCTGGGCCTGTCTTCTTCTCTGCAAATGGCAAAGCTGGGCTGGCCAGCTCTGGACCCCGCTCTGCCAGCTCTATCCACTTACCTCCAATTCTTCCTTTCTGAAATTCTGTTGGCCTGGGAAGCTGTGAGTCTGTGCTGTGCTTGCCAGGATGGCTGGGAGCTGCCTTCCCTTGGTGCTTTATGAATCAGCTTCTTGATGTAGGTCTGCAGCAGGTCTTAAAGACTTGCGTCCCCCTCCCCATTCCTCAAAGCCACAGTCGTCGTGCGACTGGGCTGCGCAGGGAACATGGGGGTCCAGTTACCCTCTCCCACCAGGCCTGTAGCTGGGGTGCACAACTGTTAGTGCCCAGAGGTCAGGAGGCTGGAGACCGACCTCAGATCAAACACAGTTCCCAGAACGGGGTGGTGTTGGGACTGTGCTGAGTCTGGCCTGCCCAGGGAGCCTGAGAGAATGGGGTTCTCTGGAGATGGGCTACGTGTCCTTGGGGGAGTTCATCCATCCACCAGAGAGAGACACAGGTGCAGGGGATAAGCGGTGGATGATAAGGCAGAGCTTCTGTGTGGGAAACCTTCCCACAGGTATCTACTGGCCCCTAAGAACTTTGCTGGCTCATGGGGGGGATGAGAA